AAATAAATGCTGTAGAAATGCGGTCTTTAAGGAATATGCTAGGGTGTAATCTGAATGACAGGGTGAGAAATTGCGTGATAAGAGATAAATGTGGTATGCAAGATGATGTTGTGACCAGGATTAAGAAAGGAATGCTTCGGTGGTTTGGTCACGTAGAAAGAATGAATGAGGAAAGAGTGACTGTTACATAATCCTACTTTAACTATTATTTGTTTAAAGTTGTAATCGACCTCGGAAAGAAAGTGGTTGCTAAAGGGCAGGCATATGTGGCACTGAGTAGAGTAAAAACACTTGAAGCTCCCAAAAGAGGTAAGGTGCTTTATCTGACCTAGAGTTAAATAATAATATGGTATTACACAAACCTCACGATGAACGAGCTTTAGCAGAAATGCAGAGACTAAGAGGTCTACACACAAGAGACTGACAGATCTCTACTGACTGTGAGTAAACAATAAATCACCCCTATTTTCCCACTCTTAGGGTATTTTTTTCTTTTCAATTTTTTCAAATTAATACGCGACAAATTTCGAGATATGTAATAAAAAAAGAAGTATCAAAATCGGTCTACTCTGTAATAAATCACCCTTACTTTCCTACCCTTACGGTGAATTTTTCAAATTTATATGGGATCAATTTCGAGGTACACCCGATCCATTGAAGCAATAATTATTAAAATCGGGCTACTCTGTAAAAAGTAATGCGTGGTCATCACATAAAAAAATATACGCGTCGGCTTGAGAACTTCCTTCTTGAGAACGAACTTCTGTTTATTTTCGTTGGTTGAAAAAGCGGCGGTTGCCAAGGCTGGCAGTTATGGCAAACATATGAGGCAATCTATGAGAAAGACCTATGTTCAGCTGTGTGCTTTAATAGGTTGTAAAAGGTAACACAAAAAGAATGTGCCGACAGTGTTACTTGCCGAGTATATCATAAAAGGCGGATATTGGGTTTATGATTGCGTAGGCGATGGCTTAGTCTCCTATCACAATCCTTATTTCGCAACCTCTTATCACACTTATCACATTATTTTTAGTTAAAAGTTGTCCAAGTAGTTCACTAATCTTTAATGGCTACCCCCTCTTGAACTACGGGTGCATGTATTACAGAAATAACATTAATAAGGCCATTTTATTAACCGCAACAATACCCTAGCTACTAATACTTAGTCGGGTCATAAGTTCTGTCAAAACCTTATTATTTAAAAAAAACTAATACTGGCTAGATAAACTTCACCAATTTTAAAAATATAACGTTTGCGCTTGCCGAAAATAAAAAGACATAAATTTTTTCGAAGAAAGAAGATAGAGTGGCAGTTATCGCGTTGCACTGCTGTGATTACGCTCCCAAAAGAGTTTTTCAATATTCTACAAAAATTGAAAATAACGGTAAGAGTTGTTTACTAAGCTGTCGCACTATCAAACGATTTACTGAAGATTTAAGCTTCGAATATCGTAAGTGCATCGTGAAGGCGCGAATCCAACGCGAATCCTGTTCATAAACAAAAAAATATTAGCTCCTTAGATGGGCCTAAGCAGATCACGGTCAAAAGAGTGAACAATGAAGACCTAGGACTACGTGCCTATCGTAAGAAAACTGGACATGTTTTAACGTGCGTTAGAAAAAAATTAGGCTAGATAGTTCCAGTGCTTTGTTACGGTGGTACGCGGGAAAAAATACCGAAAAATTTTGTTTTCGGGTTAAAATTTTTAATATCGAAGAAAGTTATAACAAACAAAATGATAAAGTGTATGCCCAGAGTAGTGAAGAAACCAGCATGCGTATTCCGAGGGTTCAATGAGCACATTATCCTTCGTCACTCATGGTTTGGCTTGGAGTTTTATATTCAGGCTTAACTAAGGTGTTTTTCTGTGAAAAATGTGTAAAAACCAGTGCCGAGGTGTACCAAAATACCGTCAAACATAGTGGAACCTCTTTCTAAAACAATGTTTAAAAACAGACATTGGATATTCCAACAGGACTCTGCGCCAGCTCATAGGGCACGAAGGACGCAAAAGTGGTTGACCGCCCATGGAACTAACTTCGAACATGAAGACTGGCCCTCTTCTAGTCCAGATTTAAGCCCACTGGATTATAAGATATGGCAACATTTGGAGGAGAAGTGGAAGAATCTGCGCTAAACCTCATCAAAATTTGGAATCTTTCCGAGCATCTTCGGCTAAAGCAGCGGCAGAAATAGATAGGAGTGTGATGCGTGCTGCGATTCATAATTGGTCGCGTCGATTAAGGGCATTTATTCAAAATAGGGGAGGGCAATTTGAATAATGTAAATAGAATTGTATTCTAAATGAAATAACCTTTAATTTCATATATAATTTCTATATAATTATCAAAAAGTGTGTCATTAATTTTATAAAAGTTTTTGAGAACTTATGACCGGACTAAGTATATGGATTAAAAACAATTAAAAGAGCCATAACTGAAATAATGGCCATCCCAAAAACCAATTGACTTTATCTTAAAGATCTCTCATATTGGATACTTACTCCTTATTCATTTCTAAAATACTTACTAAAGGTGTAAAGTTACTTTCACCGTCATTCTCCTTGCGTGTTCTCTGTTAATTAAATTATAAAATTACTTTGTCAGTAACACAGATTTTCTTACGGTATTTTCTTTCATCACTGAGCTGCTCGGCTGAGTCAACCGAGCTAGCACACCAAGGAATTGTAGTTGCAACATTTAGCTGGTGCCGGTGGCGTTACTCGTTCTCCTTTTCTTGTGCAAAAATTTATAATAAATAACCCTAATATAACATTTAAAGATGAGAACTTTCCCCTGAGTTACCAAGGCTATGCAAAAAATATGTAGCTAACATCTAGTATAATATTAGTTCAAGTAACTTACTGTCACACTGTTATATTTCAGACCAAATTTTCTACCAGAATTACTGGACAGGATTACAGTGCTCGAGTGTATGCGAAGTACAAGTGCACTTTATATTTCCTCAACGTCCGGACCGGAGGGAATCAGGTGGAATATCAATGGCTTTACGTGATTTCTGAAGCACAGGTGTAAAACACTCCTAACTTCTTGACTCTGTCTTCTCTGAATCTTCTTGTGCTACTACTGAGAATTTCTTAAAAAAGTTGAGAAAACTCAGTAACCTATTTTTGGCCCAAACCGGAATTCAAACCGGAGACTAAGCAAACACGAGACCAACGAGGCATTCCTACGTTATTCAATAAAAGGAAATCCTATCGAATTTGATGCTAAAATTATATCCGTTGTTTGATTAAATTCCACGAAATGTATTTATTGAATTCGTAACTGGAACACAGTGAAATTACCGATAAGAAAAGCAATTAGTTTAATCAAAACAAATCTTACCACAATATGCTCTAACTGTTGTAACCAACTGACTCCATTACAAGGGGATACGCCCTGAAATGAAAATTTAATTAATTTTACTGTTTCAGTGCGGACGATGAATTTTGATATTTTCTTAATCTCTTCTGCAAATTAAATAATTGGTAACTTAATTTAACTAAATTACACATTTTACATAATGTTTATGTAGTAAAATGATATGGTAACCAAATTAGATAGGTGTTTATTATATGTACGGATCAGTAAGCTGAAATGATTATGGGACGGTCAGAAAGCTCGAAAAATCAACAACCGACAGGGAAGGAAGGATCTCGAGTAACTTCGTACCGGTGTAGGGAGACCCCCTTAAATGGAGTGACCGGCAAAATATGCAGTAAGTCGATGGATGTAGGTGACTCAGGACCGTGCTTTGGAGCATTTCTTATGTGGGGCCATATGACTTTTGAAGGGTTTTCATGATTAATGATAGTGATATATGTATATAATTTTATTGTATAAATAAGCAATGACGACGTAAGAGCAAACAATCCCTCTGATGGTATGTAGATGCTATGGCTTAAAAACATCTGCATATATCTGCAATTAAGAATTAAAAATCAAAAAGATGTCACTCCTGAGGACTAAGATGAAATGTCTCGCTACCAGTAAAAAGGTTTGCTGTTTTACGTCACTCAATATGTAAAACACAAAAGCAATATGCTGATATTTTACGCTGATATTCTGGGCACGTTCCTCCCCGGTCGAGCGGAGCTTTATTCAGGAAGCCTTAATATAGCTTCAGCGTGGGCCTACCGTGTTTAAATGTTCTTGCTTTATCTAAAATATATTTTGTACTGTTTTACGAGTAATAACTTAGTAGGCACTAAAAACCTTTCTTTTCTTTTTTCTTAAAAATTCAACTGTTTCTTCAAGTAAGGAATAGAATATTGGTAACAACTTACATTGTCGTAAACGAGACCCCGTTAATGGTTGAAGTTTTAAAAACCAAGTTCGTTTTAAACTTTAAAATCTTAAAAGCTTCGTAAATCGATTTATTTGATACTTAGGAAGCGTTGATAGTTTCTTTCTGTCAATTCAGATTTGATCTAAATTAAGTGAAAGGAAAACACGGTGGGAGCTTGTTGAATTAGATTTATAAAACATTTCAGTCACATAAATCGCGTCATATATACAAACGTTTCAAGCACACTTGGACTTGAAGGATCAGGGACAGCCTTTATACAGAAAAGAGAAACTATCAATATCATTACCAGTATTATTTGTTCAATCTATGAATGGAAAGAAATATCTAGAATACGCTTATAGTGTAACCATGGTATGCTTGGATTTGGATTTGATTTTATTATGGGATCTAAATCTCATCTTGATATTTTAGACCAATTGGTGAATAAATGGTGTAATACAAGTTCACGAGTCAAACAATAATAATATAATAATTTGGCGTAGGGAATTGACGACCCCATCGCCCGCCGACGTAACAGTTAAGTGACAAAACTGCTACGTCAACGCAGTCAGTCAGCGCCTTGCGAGAAGTGTGAGCGCTGCGCCTCGGCATAATTCAGGGTGCAAAGGCCCGTTTGTGATTATGGTCGTCCACGATACGGTGCCGAGCCTGGGCGTCTCCCGTTAATGGACGCCTAAAATTATGGATGATGGAAAAAAAGATAGTGCGCAAAGAGCCGCTGCCTGGAGGTCGCCAGGGCGGTTCTGGAGCTGGCGCTGGACGCGACAGCATGCGGGCCGCCAGCCAAGTGCGGGGTGGTGCAAGACCCCCTAGCAGCCCCCCGCATCCATCATCCCCACCAGAAGGCTTGGTGTCGGCTGGGTCTTCTCGGACTCAGCAAGCGGCACTCGCCGCTGGTGGAGCACGTCACATGTGTTGGTCAAAATTAATGAATTCAAACGCACTGCGGGCGTATTTTAGGGCAAAAGGGGAAAAAACTGGATGTTTGGCGTATCGGGCTCGGATTCATCCCTTTTTTGCAGAGCTGGAGCCATCTCTATCCGTCACTGAGCAAAACCTGGCAGACCAAGCCTCAGCTACATCCTGCGCTCCAACACATTTGGTGACGCCGAACTCGAACGACTACGACGTGAGGCTATTCCTTCATCGAATGGAAATGCTACGGCTGGGAATGCGGCGCCACTAGATGCGCAACAAACTGCATATGTGGATGCTGCCGTCAACATTCCATTTGTGGCTAATTCAGACGATGATGGAATAGTCTACCACGAACTAGAAAAAATGAGGAGCGTATTGGAACAGTCGATGCTGGAAAGGCGCAGCATGCCTCTCGAAAATCAACCGCGACTTCCCCGCATACCCCTTAGCAAGCGAAATCGGGCTGTCGTGCGGGATCTTAACCCAATGCTGGTGATCTATTTGGAAGCCAGCCGGGACCTTTGCGAGACGGACTCAATTCTTTTTGGCGCCGCACTAGCAATATGTCGTATTATTGGCGCCAAACTTCCCGTGGCTGGACGTGCTACTCAAAAAAGTAGCGCCATCCCAGCCTGGAGAAAAGAATTGAGGACCGTATCGCAAAGGCAAGGGCCCTTATCGGTAGACTGACAAGCTTCAGGTCGGGTAATAATAGACCGAGAGTTGTGCACACCGTTAGAATGTCATTTGCTGGGACAAATTTTAGTTTGTCCCAGCCGGATATCATGCAGAAACTAACGGAGCGCATAGATGACCTGAAGCAAAAAATCACTGCTTGGGGGAAGCGGATTCGACGATTTAGCGAGAGGTCAAGGCGGTTCAACCAGAATTGTCTCTTGCAGAGTGATCAGAAGAGGCTCTATAAATCATTGGAGCGACCAGAGGTATGTGGAGCGGGCCCAGGACCGGATCAGGCTGACACTGTCGCATTTTGGCGTGGCCTGTGGTCAGAGCCCGTAAACCACAGCGAGGGCCCTTGGATGGAAGTTGTGGCGAGCCAGAGTGCAAGTGTTACGCCTATGGACCCCGTCGCCATAACGCCTGAAGACGTGGCTGAGGCGGTCCGTAGGGCCCCGAACTGGAAAAGTCCGGGGCTCCACGGGCTGCATCATTACTGGCTGAAGGGATTCGTAGCGTGTCACGCTGTGCTTGCCCGACAGTTTCAAGAGGCTCTCGATCAGAAGTCGCTCCCGAGCCTCTTCACTACTAGGATTACTCATTTGGTTCCTAAAGATCAGGATACCCACCATATATAAGACACTGACATCCATTTTGAGCGCGAGAATCACTCGTCACCTGGAGCTAAATCAGGTGATATCACGCGCTCAAAATGGATGTCGGGGCGGTGGTCATGGAACCAAGGAACCACTCCTCATTGACGCGGTCATTGGCAAAGTGGTGAAACGCAACCGTCGGAATTTCTCCGCCGCCTGGATAGACTACAGAAAGGCATTCGACTCGGTGCCCCATATATGGCTAAAGAGAGTCCTCGAGCTGTACAAGATAGACTGTACAGTTGGAGACTTCCTCGAGCAGTGTATGGGGCAATGAAGTACGATCCTTTGCTATCTGGGCGAGCGGATGATGGCTGCGGAGAACCACATAAGGATAAGAAGGGGTATCTTCCAGGGTGATTGTCTGAGTCCAATCAGGTTTTGTCTCTCTCTGAACCCTCTCAGTACTTTACTAGAGGGCTCCGGGAGGGGTTTTTAGCTTCGAAAAGGAGGTACAAAAGTGACCCACCTTTTTTATATGGATGACCTCAAGTTATTCGCCTCCAGTCACTCCCATCTTGTGGAAATGCTAAACATCACTTGTGAATTTAGCAATTCTATTGGAATGGAGCTGGGGACAGATAAGTGTGCGGTCCTCCATGTTGAAAAGGGAAAGGTTGCTAACTCTGAGGGCATAGTCTTATCTATGCCCGTCAACTTAAGGACCCTTTCCGAGGCTGAAACATACCGATATGGCTGGGTATGTCATAGAATATCGGTATCGATGAGGCTGGTAAGAAACAGTCAGTTTGCGACGTGTTTTATGCACGATTGAGCAAAGTGCTCAATAGCCTTTTGTCCGTTGTGAATAAGACACATGCATATAACGGTTGGGTCATGTCTGTCCTCATGTATACCTTTGGCATACTCTGGTGGACTCAGACTGAACTTAACGCCCTGGATAGAAAAGTCCGCACTACCATCACGTCCCATAGGATGCATCATCTGAGATCGTCAGTAATAAGGCTTTACTTGCCGCGAAAGAATGGTGGGCGTGGCTTTCTGAGCGCGCTCACCATGCATAATCGCGAAGTGTGCAGCCTCCGTCATTACTTCCTGGCGAGATCGGATGATCCATTTTATAATGACGTCATTTCTAGTGATAAAGGGTTTACCCCTCTATCCTTAGCCAACGGGCAATGGCAGGATCCGACCGGGAGACCGTATGGAAGGAGAAGGAGCTGCACGGGAGGTACTACACGGCTCTACATGAGCCTTTCGTAGATACAATCGCCTCCCTCAACTGGCTACGTTTCGGTGACCTCTTCGGGGAAACCGAGGGTTTTGTCTGTGCAATACAGGATCAGGTTATTAAGACCAACAACTATCGGAGATACATCCTAAAGGATTGCACCGTTGACATCTGTCGAGCTTGTCGCCACCCCGGTGAGTCACTTAGGCATGTCATCTCCGGTTGTTTGGCGCTTTCTAACTCTGAGTACTTGCACAGGCACAACCTAGTAGCCAGAATTCTTCAACAGGAGCTCGCTCTGAAATACGGTCTCGTGGACCGGAAATTGCCGTATTACAAGTACTTGCCGGAAGCCGTGTTCGAAAATGATTGCGCCAGGCTCTACTGGGACCGGGCCATCATCACAAACAGGACTATTCTTGCGAATAAGCCTGATATTGTGCTGATGGACCGGACACAGTCAAGGATATTTTTGATCGACATTACCATTCCGTATGACGAGAACCTCGTGAAAGCCGAAACAGATGAACAAAATATCTGGACCTGGCTCACGAGGTGACCGACATATGGGGTGGTCTGCCGACTAAAATTATTCCTGTAGTCGTTTCTGTAAACGGGCTAATCCCAGTCAGCCTCTCTCATCTGAGGAGGCTGGGACTCCGTGACGGACCGCTCCAGGCTCAAATGCAGAAGGCGGTGCTCCTCGATACCACCCGCATCGTCCGCCGGTTCTCTTCCTTTCTCCCTAACCCTCGGCCGTTTGGTCTCCCCTGCCGATGGCCTCCATATGGTTGGGTTATTTATGTGTGCGTGCGTGCACGCGTATTTTCAATAGTTTTCTGTCCGCCAAAATGTGTGAATCTTACGAAGAAATTCGATACATGCTGATGTTTTATAACAAACAGCTGTAAAATGCAACTCAAGCCGAGAAAAATTTTTTTTGACGTATATGAATCTAATTCAGTGTCTTTAAGAGTAGCTCCAAGTTGGTTCAAGCGTTTCCATTCAGGGTATTATGATGTCAGAGGTGACCAGGGCAAGTTATAACGACATTGCCAGGGATTTAATGATTAACCTCAAAACAGTTTTCACCCATATGGAAAGGTCTAATTACACAAAAAAGCTCGATATTTGGGTGGTACCCAGCTCACTACACGAGCGTACGCGTGCGTGTACGCGTGTGAGTACGCGTGCGTGTACGCGTGCGTGCGTGCGTGGGTTTATACACTACGGGAATCACAAAATTGATGTATGCGATTTTATAATAAATTAAAAAGTTCTGTGACATATAATAGGTTGATTTGGGATGGTTTTAATATCAATAAATAAAGAACATTAAGAAGAAAAAAAATAAAAAGTAGAAAACACTTTTCCGCCATTTTCAATAGTTTTCTGTCCGCCAAAATAGGTGAATCTCACGAAGAAATTCGATACATGCTGATGTTTTATTACAAAAAGCTGTAAAATGCGACTCAAGCCGAGAAAATTTTTTTTGACGTATATGAAACTAATTCAGTGTCTTTAAGAGTAGCTCAAAGTTGGTTCAAGCGTTTCCATTCAGGGAATTATGATGTCAGAGGTGACGAGGCTATAACGCCATTGCTAGGGATTTAAGGATTAACCTCAAAACAGTTTTCACCCATATGGAAAGGTCTAACTACCCACAAAAGCTCGATATTTGGGTGGTACCCAGCTCACTACACCAGGTCACTGAAAAAAACCTAATGAATCGTATACTCGTTTGGGATCCTCTATTGAAACGTAATGGAAACGAACCAATTTTAAAAAGATTGATCATTGGTGATGAAAAATAGTTCACCTACGACAATATCGCATGAAAAAGGTCTTAGACAAAGGGTCACTTGGCCAGTCTACAAAAATGGAGAGAGTTTGGTGGGGAAGTGATAATGCATCCACCATATAGTACTGACCTTGCACCCTTAGTCTCCTTTACCTGTTTCGATCCCTTCACATTTCTTTGATTAGTGTTAGGTTAACATGAAGCAGACTGTTAAAACTACTTATCACGTTTTTTTGATCAAAATTTCCAAGATTTCTTCAGAAGCGGGATTATGTAATATTACAGCAACAATATATATATATATATATATATATATATATATATATATATATATATATATATAAATATTTAAACCTTCAAAGAAATGTCTTGCGAATACGAAGAAACTGTTTCCCGACCATATATTTTACGACGCAAACCTACGAGTTCATGTATTTTTTTTATATAAAATACAGATCACAGCATAATAAATTCAATAATATTAAGAAATAAACAAATAATTAGATATTAATTTCAGTAACTACCATTATGAAACACTTACAATTAAAACAACAAAAACAAGAATGTTTAAGAATTTCTCTTTCCAGGTCTTCATATCAAAGTTTTTTTCTCTTTAGTGGTTTTGTTGCCAATCGATAATAAAATTTTATGTTGCAAACATAAGTTAGTACAATCAAATGGCGTAAAATTAAATGTTACTAAATAAACTATTTTAAAGTATGTTTTTATAGAAGAGGAGGCGAACGAGTATGATACGTGGTAGAGCCACGCTGCAGCTATATTATGGTTGGAGCACGAATGGGTCGGCTCAACCGGGGAAGGACCACGTTCTCATAGAATACCGCGTAAAATAGCAACTTTATGTTGCTGTGTTTTGTATGGTGAGTGTAGAGAAACGGACACCCGTTTTACTGGAATAGAGGCATTAAGCATTCCACCTTAGTCCTCAGGGGTCAGTCTAACAACTCATCTGCATTTTGATTCTCAATCAAGGTTAAATGTAAATGTATGCTACAGCATCCACTTACCATCAGGTGGACTGTGTACCCGTTTGTTACTCTTATTCTATACAAAAAATGCGGCTCACCCGATGGTAAGTGATTACCGCCACTCATGAACATCCGTAACACCAGGGGAATTGCAGGTGCGTTGGCAGCCTTTTAGAAAGGATGAAGCTCTTTTCTTGAAGGTTCCTATGTCGCCCGATGGGATCTGCTGTAGCAAGGAATATGTAGCTATTTGCACGTGGCCGATGAGTGGGTCTGTTTTGGCATTACCACTATGGGATTTGTAGATGCACCCGTAGATGCGGGGATGTTCACCGCATCCGAGATGGACAGGTGAGAACCGACGCCCAGGAAGAGTAGGATAGCTTAGTCGTGGATGCTCAGCGATGAATTCTCCGTCACCAGGGGTGTTAATACCCTTTTGGGTTTGTTTTTTTGATTCCGCTACCATTTCTTAAGATGAGGGAGGGATTTGGCCACCTCCGGCCACCTGCGCTTACCAAGCGAAATGAAGAGATAAACTCCGGTACGAGTTGGCCCATCCGTGCGACTGCAAAAGCTACCGCGTGGCTCTACCACTCTAAAAATATAATTATTAATTCAATTCACTAAAATGTTATTATTATATTCTTTCACCAAGTGGTTGAAGCATAAGACAATAGTCATTACACCAGGTGCATTATAATATTAATGAATATTTCCTCTGGACCGATTTTGTGCAGAATTCCAAGACAAGATTATAGTGCCTATGTATATACACAAACACGGGTGCACTCTTTACTTTTCTCACTCTCATAGTCCGATGGAACAGCGATCTGTCGCGCAGAGAGAAAACAGGCGCAGTAACAACGGCTTATTGTGCTTTCTTTGACACGGGAGTGAAGCACCGTCAACTTCTTAACTCCGAGCTGATTATGTAAATTTCTTACAACAAAAACCCAATAATTGACTTTTGCCTGATAAATATTCTGAAGTTGTGCAT